CCTCTGCGCTTGCCGCGCCCGGAAGAGCTCCGCCTCGTACACCGTCCGTGGCTTCATCTGCTTCACATGAGACCCCATGGTATGGTACTAGAGGGCGTCCTTGTCATGACGATCGTCTTCGCGCGCTTCCGCTGCCCGGATATTTAGCTGTCGAAGCTGCTTCGCGCGCTTCAGCTGTCCCGAAATCGAGACGTGCTCAAAGGCTCTATTATGTGCGTCTTTGACGCACTAAAAATTGTACCCCGGATAAGTGCGTCGTACTTAATTTATACAAAATCAAGTATAATGTCCATCATGTGACAGCACTTCACAGGGACTGCTAAATCGCACTTCACAGGACATGCTCTGCGCGATGCGATTGGCCGAGACCAATGAAACTGCGTTTCATTTGTCAGAAAATCTGGAATTATGACCAATGGGTTGGCCGGATTGAGACACGACACGCCAAATTAATCCCCTGGGATGCTGGTACACCACGTAAACGTTCCTACCAGGATAATAATACAATGGAATGGACGCATCCAGTCAGCAGCACTGCGGACCGTGTCGACAAAAAAAGAGCGCGTCCATGGAAGCATCTGCGAGCGACAATGTTAGGAATGCGACGAGCGGTAATTTTGTACATTGATGGGACCGCGGCGTGAAGGGTTTGAACTCGCAACGAATCGCTGCGTTCGCAGCTCCAACGACTATAAACGACTGTCGACTTGTTTTGCTGTCGATTTCGCTGAAAAGCGCCGTCCGAGCGGCGTGGTGCAAGGCTAATTTTTGGTTTGGTTGGTGTCTCGCCTGCCTTTGTACACATCGAGTACATGATGCTTCAGGCTAGTAGCTCTTCTTGAATGGCCGACTGTAGCGATCTACATTAGCAGGAAGATCAATTGCATGCAAGTACCATGGCGTTTTCCTGTGATCTCGATATCTCGCGTGGCCATGTGGCGGGCTCCTGTGAGAGAAAACGATGCATGACCTGAGTTGAGTACAGATCTTTGCAGGGGGTCGTACCGTCGTCCAGTGTTGCTGTTGTTGTTGTTGTTGTTGTTGTTGAAGTGGTTCGTCTATTGAAATAGTAGATAACCTTGAACTGGATTAACTAGATAAAACAATCTCGGACTTTCCCGCTGTGTACACTCGGTTGAGAGACGTGGTCTAGGCCGACGAAGACTGGAGCGCGTCCCGCGGACAAGATGCCGGTGCAGCCATTCGCGCTGCGCGTGAAGCCAGAGAAGCCAAAGGAGATCGTGCTCGGTCTTTTAAACGGGGCGAGTGCAGTTGAGCGACCCGTGCCGCCTTGACAGCAATCGTCCATGGACTTGGCTATGATTGGTCTGCGCGAGAGACGCGATCGTTCCGGACTCGCCAAACCTTGGACCAGACGCAGGCGCGGAGCACGGGCCGGAGGTAGTGGAACGCGGCTTGGTGCATGTTGGAGGCCGTCTGGGGCGTCGAGACGAGGTACCCTGAGCGTCGTCGGCAAGACCACGCCTTAGGGGTCGGTGACCGCGTGAAGCGTGGTCCACACGTCCTAGATGAAGTCGCAGGCTGCGAGGAAGTGGTGGTACGCTCGTGCGCGGGGCAGAAGAGGCACGCTTGGTCGGCCCTGTCGAGCTCGTCCAAATGGGCGCGATGCTTGACCGCGCGGAGCACCACTTGGTAGACACAGTCGGCGTACTAAAGTAAGAGTAGTTGTAGTTGTTTCTGTGGATCTTGTAACGAGATAATAACATTCTGTGCCATGTTCCTTTTCGAACGCAGCTCCTCGGACTCGAGGGGTAGGGCTCACCTACCCTCGTCTCGGCTTCTTGTGCAACGCATGGTGGCATTCTGATTTCCTACCGTATGTTGGCGGTCCATGCATTGATTAACTGCGTGCTTCACCGCGTCGCCTGTCGCAACCAAAGGTGACCTCGAAAAAGAAAAGGTAGAGCCTCAACAGCAGAGACCTATTCGTGCGTGAGAACTCATGTGGCAAGAATGCTCCGTTGCTTCCACGACCACTTCCAGTGGCGCGCCGCGAGAGCACATCGTCCAGTCCGTGGCACGTACTCGAGTTGTCACATCTAAAACGGGCGCTAGTAAATCGCTGCACGCGGTTCTGCAAGGCTGCATTCGACGTTGGTGCAGAGCAGCGGTGTAGCAACCCGGCTTGGGAGCACGAGCGTCATGTCGCACCGACTGACCATCGAGAGCTCCTACACTGCAAGCATGACTGAAACCTTTGCGCCAAGTTGCTTGCTTGAGAATGTAGACATATGTGGACCTTGTAATACCTTTTGCCGCCTTCTAGCACAAGTGTGCGAGGTGCATACTTTGGCTGGTACAGGACAGTGCATGGACGTTGAAGCAGCGATTCGGGTGTCTCAACACACGCGTGGTTTTGGCACACTGCGCTACTGCCGGTCCATTCAAAGGGATTGTTGGCAGTCGAGACAACCACTGTAGAGCATAGGACCGCAGTCGTCGACCGCCCATGCCTCGCAACCACCAGCAACACACGTCCTGTTGTGTTGTAACCGTTGATGTACAGGGCACACGGGCTCCGATTAGACGACGACTTAGGCAGTGTCGAGCTCGTCGATTTCGTTCTCATCGTCGACGTTGGGCGTGTTGCTTTGCGGGCTCTCGAGGACGCGCTTCCGAGGTACCTTGAGCAGCACGGTGGTCCGGTGCTCGAGCGCCGAGCTGCGTTGCGACTCGACTTGGAACGCCGGCGACTGGAGCGTGCCTACAATGCGCGCGAGGACGTCGACGCCGTCGCGGGCCTCGGCGTGGCGCAGCTGAAAGAGGTACACGCGGAGCACGTGGCGCGTCGCGCGCTTGGTCAAGCTCGCACTGCCCTTCCAGCTGTACGGCCAAAAGTGCTTGGATCGTTTGTTGGCGTTGAGAACATACACCTCGCTCGACTACAACAGGAGAAAATATTTTTTGTCAACGAGCCCAATAATGTACACAGGAAGAAAAGTACCGGAAACGGCAGGGGTGCGCCCGCGGGGACCCCGAGAAACCACTCGGACTGCATCGCATTAGGTCGAATCGTGTTGGCCTCGAGGTACCGGAGTGGCATCTCCATCGCCACTTCGAGCTCCTTCATCGGCAGCTCTTCAAACCGAGCGTACACAGCGTACTGGTGCACGGGTGCCGCATTCAAAAATGCCACGTGGATATGAATCGGTCCACCGCACATGGATTGCGTCGCGTGGCCACCACAGCAGTGCGGAAAGCATCTACACCAGCATCGATATCCACGTCGTCTTACAAGAGTCGTCCACGTTGCGTACCGAAGCTCCTACAACAGCTCGTCGATTCCAATCCAACGAAGAATCGGGCGTACCTTGCGGCCGTTGGTCTTGTTGCCACTAAGAAAGAGTGTGTGTAAGGTAATCAGGGGTAGGGTTGCACCCACCGCGAGTACACCGTGCGAAAGAGATCACCGGGACAGTCACACCCCTGGAACTCGAACGCCGAGACGCCGGTCGTCGGCAGCAGTTGCACTGTCTCGTCCGTCTCGGTCGCCATGGCCTTGAGCCGTGCTACGCAGCAGCGCAAGGTAGCATAATATGACGTCAAAGACAAAGGAGACACACTGGTGCGGCTCTCGGCCGCGCGGCGCGCCGACGTGATGGTGAACGGCGAGCTGCGTGCGAGCCCCACGACAACGTTGTCGGTCGCGCGACGGATGTATACCTAATGGCCCAATAGAAATCATATTGTCATCTCTCGTGTAGACAGCACCGTGAGCACGTGCGTTGCGGCGCGGTCGACCTTGCTCGCGCTGCCCTTCCATCCATAATGCCACTCGTCCTCGAGCGCACTGCGATTGACGAAAAACGTGGCCGGCTACGAAGATGAAGGATCTCTTCACACAGATCGGGCGCTTGTTGCGTACCATGGGCGCGTGAGCGTCGCGATGGCACCGCATCCACATGCCACGCATGTTGCCGGGTTGGCGGAGGTCGCCGTCGACCACCTCGAGCGGGCTCCCGATCGCGAGCTCGGTCGTCGACGAGCTCTCAAAGCGTCCAAAGGCTTCAAATGCCACCGCTTCTTCGGTGCTGTACTCGCCGCCCACCTGCACGACGAGCGACGTGCCGCACGATCGCCGGGTCGTGTGCTGCGGGCAGCAGTGTGGAAAGCACCTGCGTCGCGCGGTTAGCCGCTGCCATATAGACTACTGGTTGGAGGTCGTACTTGATGACCTACTGCACCGTGAGCACACGGTGCATCGGCGCACCGCAGTTTACCTTTTGGCCGTCGGGTTTGTTGTGGCTGCCATCGCGTGGCACGCTGTGAGGCGAGAAGGCGACGAGGAGGAGGGTCGTACCGCTGGTAGCTGCTCGCGAAGAGGAGGCCGCAGATCGAGCACGCCTGGAAGGTGCAGAAGAGGCGCTCGGACAGCGTCCGCAGAGCCATCGATGCCACTCGCTATGACAACTTGTTGGGTCCGACAGATTTGGCCACGACGCGGGATTTAATTTTGACCATTTTTAATCCTAGTGCCGTTTCCAGAAATGGGATCAAGGTACTTTTGTCCCAGCGTAAAACACCAGAATAATGGGTTTTGTCGTACGCACAATCGATGTGGGCATCGCGATCCTTAACAGCACGTCAACAAGCAGTCTTTATGAGCGCGGGCGCATCGATGCACACTTGGCCTGTATCAAGTAGTGTCGTGGAGTCGTCTTGTGCGCGATTGCTACACAGCGCACCGAGCGCGGGCGATTACACTGCACGCAAGATTGCGTGATCGTTGGGTTATTCCATGCGCAGTGGGAAAATGGGAAATACGGTTTGCCCCAGGTATATTAAAATGTGTCAACATATTGACCATTTTATTTTAAATCTGTTGTTCCGCAGCGGAACGGCCGAGCCATTCCTTTGAAACGTTGGGACAAGACGGGGATCAAAGGAGTCTTTCCCGCTGACCAGACGTCAGCAGCATCCAAACAAACGCACGGTGCAAGACCAAGCAAGAGCTCTTCGATGGGGTTCAGCAAGATCTCGTCACGGGATTGGTGCAAATTCACTTCATCGCCCAAGAAACAGAGGAGAGATTCCTTTGGTTTGAGTTCAACAGTTGCCTATTGCTTTGGCTGGGCACTGCCACGTGTTTCATGATCTCAGTATCCGGCTCATCCGGGCCTTATCGCAATCCAAGAGAACGTTAACGAGGTCCGAGCATGCGCTCCTCCGGCGTCGAGCAGGAGATTCTGGCGTCGATTGAGCGCGATGTCTACGGGCCCTGTGTTGTGTGATGCGATATTGCGGTAGTCCGCCCCGCTGTGGACAGCCACCATGTGTGTGCACGGTGTCATGATTGATACAAACCACCGGATCGACAAGGAAACACGCCGCTTTGGTGGACGTTTGTTTGGTCATTCGTTGTCGTAATCGTGTGGACGACGTAAATATCGTGATCAATACTAATCTGTCATTGTTGGATTATCCAAAACTGATGCACTATAGATTCTGTCATGCCAGTGGTGGGCGAGGCGGGTTAGTTATTTGACTGACGCTACCAATTTGGAGATGGCCTGAGCTGGCTTGCTCTGCGCCTCGATCTTGGATCTTGTAACGTGTGCGATCTTGGAACCGGACTTCTAGATTGCTCGGCCTTGCACGGAACACCTCTTCCACTTCTTGGAAACGGCCCCAACACAGTTGTGCATTTTTCCTGGTAGGAACGTTTACGTGGTGTACCAGCATCCCAGGGGATTAATTCGGCGTGTCGTGTCTCAATCCGGCCAACCCATTGGCTATAATTCCAGATTTGTTGTCCAATGACACGCAGTTTCATTGGTCTTAGCCAATCGCATCGCGCGAAACATGTCCTGTCAAGTGCGATATTGCTGTCCCTGTTAAGTGCTGTCACATGATGGACATTATACTTGATTTTGTATAAATTAAGTACGACGTACTTATCAGGGTACAAGGCGCCATCACAGCCGCACCTAATGGAGCTCTCACCGCGCTTTGACAGTTACGCGCCGAGACGACCGTCATGGCAAGGACGCCCTCTAGTACCATGGGGCCGCATGGGAAGCAGGTAAAGCCACGAACGGTGTACGAGGCGGAGCTCTTCCGGGAGCGGCAAGCGCAGAGGATGCAAGAGACCCGAAGGATGGCAAGACTCGCGAAGCGTTCGCAACCCGCCGCAGCAACCCCATCGACGGAGGCCAACTCGACTCATGACGAAGGCATCAAAAATGCTCTGGAAGAAAGAGATGACCGAGGTGCGATGCCACATTGAAGACTGCAGCAAGCGACGACGCCGCGTTGGCCCGGAAAAGTCTGCGCACCGTAGCGCAGCGAAGGTCGCGCGTTGACTTTTGTCTAGGCCAACGCGCCGTCGTCGCAAATACCGGTAAACAATGCTCCGCATTCAAAAGTTCAACTGTGGCACGTAGGTCCTGACGCTAACGAGCCTTGAGGGCCTTGACAGCTTCCATCGCCGGCAGCTGCGCCGCCTTCTA